AAATATTGGGTTGTAACAACCACTTCTATAAATAGTTTTTAATCATCTGTGGGTCCTACCATTTAGTATGATTTTCAGGGCATCTAAACAAGTTTTATTAAGTGCTTCTTGTAAGCCATACCGTTAATGTTCTGCCCAGATACTCGGGTCCCTTTCCTTGGTTGTTGTCTCGCCCTCCCCTGCCCGGCTCCAGCGTGCCTTTGCTTACACCAGCCAGCACCAGCACCTCCAGAGGGCTGCCCTGGGCCACTGGGACTGCCTTTGGTGCAGAGAGCTGGAGAGCGTATAGCCCATCCTCACCCCTGGGTGGCCCTCTGTCCACAGTGGACAGTGTGGGGGAAGGAAAGCCCAGCACCTTCGCCTTGAGTAGGATGAGCTCTGAGGCATAACTGTGCTCCTGAGTTATTCAGAATGATAACGGAGGGTCAGGCTGATGTTCACCCCTGGGACTCTGCCTGAAATTGCAGCCCTGCTTCGATTGTCCCGCTCCCTTACTGCTTCCTCTACTCCCTCCCGCTTCTTGAATAATAATCCATACCTGGTTCCTCATCACAGGGTCTGCTTCTGGGGAACTTGAATTAAATGCATTTAACATAGATCAAATTCTGTCCTGAACACAGTGTAAACACCAACTCGTTTCATCCTCACTGTGCTGTAAGTATCTGTCATTATCTTTGTTTCGTGGAGAAGTGCACGGACTTGAACGCGGGAGAAGGGGCAGCACATACTTCGTGGAGGTTGTCGGAGCTTGTCAGGTTGCCTTCTTTCCTGCCCTCCTGGCTTCTGACACCTTACAGCATGACTGTTATTGTTTGAAGTACAGCTGTTGTAACGCGGCAGCGAGACAACCAGAGAGGCACAGCCGAATTGTAAAGGAGCACTTCATTACACCGGCGGACTGGCGGGACCTCTCAAATCCCAGCCCCGGGCTTCCTTTGTTCTTTGCTTATATAGGAACAAAAACCAGAAAAAACTATATTCAAAGGAAAAAACCTGCATTCCTCCTGGCTCCGCTTAATTGGTGTTGTGACTGATACAGACTTCTCCAGAGGAGAAGAGGGGGTCGGTTGCAGGGGTTAAGGCAATCATTCATCTCTTTCTTTTTTATGGTCCCTTCAAGTTTTCCAAGGCCATCATCAACCCCTTATCTTTGTGGTTCCTCTGGGTGTCCGTCCCAGGTTTTTTAGAAAACTGCTCGGTTGTTTACGTGTGGGAATAACTGATCAGAATGGAGTTTGATTTTTTAAAATAGCCTGTTCACAGCCACCGTCTTGGGGGTAGTTCATCTGAACACACAAGATCATATTTTGGAAGTAGTAGTCATATAAGCCCATCACGGATGAAACATATCACAATAATTGTCCTTATTTCAGAATCTTCAAGACAATTTAGCAAAGAGGCTATAAAACCATTCTTGTATGGGAGAAACAAGTTAGGAGAATGACTAGGAAGGACACTGCTACATTTAATAAGACCTCGGCCGGCCGGAGCCGCTGCGGGCAGATGGAATAAGGGGTGAGACTGACTTGCCGGAAGGAGGAATCGCCATGGAATACAGCTCCCACCCTGAACTGTCTGTCCACCAGCCAGGCAGCTTGCAGTTTTCAAGATGGCATAGTGAAGCTGGTACACACATGTTTTCTTGTTTAACCTTTTATTTGGGTATCACTGTAGATTCACATGCAATTGTAAGAAATAATACAGAGATCCCCTATACCCTTCACCCAGTTTTCTCCAGCGGCAACCTCTACAGACCTCTGATTTTACACCGACTGTTAAAATGCATACCTGCCCTTATTTATACAGAAGTGTGGAAAACTCTTCTTTGCTTTAGTGAAACTATGACTCCAAGACCCAGTCTCTTCTATCAAGGATCCAAACACCAGCTAGCGGTGGGTTTGGGCGCCAGGAGCCTCAGGTCCTGTAAAGATAACCAATACACACTTGCCTCGCTTGCGCCAGATTCAGGCTTTTACAAGACATGTTTTTCAAAACTGAAATGTTTAACTGTAAAATTCCTTGTTATTTTATTTTTTCATTGCTCACATGATTAGATTAGTTAGGGTGTTAGAATTACCGACTCTTCCGTCACAACCATGCATTCAAGACATCAGGCTTGTTTTCTGTCTAGAGGTGGCTCCCCACAAAGACCTTTTTGAATATCTGTGGCTGAGTGCAAAGGCAGAAAAGCCAAATGCAGTGAGTTTATTTCATACTGATTAGAAAAAGCCATCACAAACGCTTTCCATGACTAGTAGACACTGCTGTGCCCAGGGTGGGGCCTCGCAGCCGCTCAGGCTCTGCTCTCACACGCGCCGTCCGTGGATCCCTCCGTGGTGCCTGCAGCGCTGTGCGCTCAGGAAGCAGCTGTGCGCCGGGTCTGTGGATCCCTCCGTGGTGCCTGCAGCGCTGTGCGCGCAGGAAGCAGCTGTGCGCCGGGTCTGTGGATCCCTCCGTGGTGCCTGCAGCGCTGTGCACTGGGTCTGTGGATCCCTCCGTGGTGCCTGCAGCGCTGTGTGCGCAGGAAGCAGCTGTGCGCCGGGTCTGTGGATCCCTCCGTGGTGCCTGCAGCGCTGTGCGCGCAGGAAGCAGCTGTGCGCCGGGTCTGTGGATCCCTCCGTGGTGCCTGCAGCGCTGTGCACTGGGTCTGTGGATCCCTCCGTGGTGCCTGCAGCGCTGTGTGCGCAGGAAGCAGCTGTGTGCTGGGTCTGTGGATCCCTCCGTGGTGCCTGCAGCGCTGTGCGCTGGGTCTGTGGATCCCTCCGTGGTGCCTGCAGCGCTGTGCCTCAGGAAGCAGCTGTGCCCTGGGTCTGACATGGTCATCAGTTTATGGATAGTACAGCAGTTGACTTCATTTACTGTATGAAATGTTTTCATTTTGCTTCCAATTTTTAAAGTAGAGCCCAGCTGGTGTGGCTCAGTGGACTGAGCGTCCTCCCGCGGACTGAGAGGTCCCAGTTCGATTCCCAGTCAGGGCACATGTCTGAGTTTCAGGCTTGATCCCCAGAAGGGGGTGTACAGGAGGTAGCCAATCAATGTTTCTCTCTCCCTTCCTCCTCTAGAAAATCAATAAAAACATATTTAAAAAATAAAGTAGAAAATATCTCTCCTCCAGCATTTTTTCGCGTTGTTCTCCCTTCTTCTCTTTGCCTCCTTCCTGCGTTCCTGAGCACTCCATCCTCACCCTCTTTTCTCTCCACCTTCCCATTTTTTTCTGGCTGTCCTCACAATCTTCACATCTCTCCCTTCCTCTGCCTCCCAGCTCTCCAAAAAGAAAGAAGGCGAAGAACAAACAGAAAAATCTTTCATTACGACACTGGGCAAAAAGCCTTGTAATCATACGTTTATTTTAACTTCATTTTGTCGACTTCCAAAACACAGGTCTGTGCGGAGCCACGCTTCTGTTTGCCTACAGGGCATTTGTAGGTATTCAGTGGTAATGATGCACAGTCCACTTCTAAACAGATATCTTTTTGTCTCTATTGGTGGGTTTGTTAGTGATGTCTGAATGAGCAGTGTAAATGTATGTTTGTAATGGCCTCTTACCAAGTGTTTTATACTCGGTACAAAAGGAAAAAGTAGAAATGGCCATTACGTAAATCAGTGTTTGGATTGCTGCCACGGCACAGGGCTTGGGGATTAATGATGGGGGAGAATAACATTTTCGCCTTTATATCGTTTATGTACAAGGGTGAGTCTGACATTGGCTCCCTTGGGCCACCAAAGGAGATAGCTCAGTGGACAAGGGGAAATCCGTTACCATGAAGTCAGCCCAAATGTAATGAGCCAAGACCTATGGGGCTGTCATTGAGAAAGAAACGATTTGATGGGTCAGGGCAGGCTGCTGACTCTGGTCTCTCAGGCAGCAGTTAACCAGAGTGGCAGCAGGACAGGAAGGAAGGGGGGTATGTGTGTGGAGGTGGAGGGCAGGGTGCCCAGAGATGAAGAAGGTAGAGACGAAGCCTCCGAGTACAGGGTGGGGTTGTAAAGGGACATTCCCTGCCCCTGCTGTGTTGGGGTGGTTTCTGAAAGGGCAGACTCCCCCATGAAACAAGCAAATGTTCTAATTCAATGATTATCAAAGGTGTCTGTGAACCCATTTGATGAACTCTGCCAATTTCCTACAGACAGGACTGCTATATACTAGGGGAAAGTACTCATTGTCAGTTTTGGGTGCCAAGTGAATCTCTGATATGTTTATAGGAAGGAAATACAATGGAAGTAGAGGGGGAATACATTTTACAAATACATATACAATTTGATAGCACTGTGTATAGGCCTGCTTGCCTCTTTTTTTGTTTTCTTTTTCATGTGAGGAAATGAGGTCAGTCAGGATTGTTCTCATGTTCTGGCTTTGCCTTTGTAGTGTGTGTATGTGTGTGAACGATATTATTTTTTCCAATCAGGGTACATCTTTGTAGCATTTTCAAAATGTGTTGGATATACTTTTAAAGGTGACAGATGTCCTATTTGCATTCTATGCAAAGTTACCCAGGGGTCAGCATTCCTTTTTTTTTTTTTTTATCTTCACCCGAGGACATTTTTCTATTTTTTGTTCAGGTAGAGTGGGAGGGAGAGAGAGGAACAGAGAGAGAGAGAGAGAAACATCAATGTGAAAGGAACACATCGAGTGGCCGCCACCCGCACAACCGACCAGGGCCGGGACAAACTGCAACCGAGGTACACGCCCTTAGCGGGAACCGAACCCGGGTCTCTCAGGACCGCAGGCCGATGCTCTAACCACTGAGCCAAACCGGCCAAGGCCAGCGTTCCTTAAAAATAAAACAATAACAACAGTGAAGACCCTAAATACTTCACGTACTGACCACACCTGAGCAGAGAACCAGCATCCTGTGTGCATGTGCACAGTGACATCAGAGGAAGCACATGCTAAGAATGTGTCTTAGTCTGAGGGGCAGTAAAAAGACGCCAAGAAACAGATGGTGGAAAAGACATAGAAAGGAATAATAAATATTTTCTATGGTTTTTCTTTTTTGCAGTTCTATTTTGAACCCAAAGTGGATGATGCTGTCAGGGCTGAGCCACTGACCAAAGTCTGTGAAGAACTCCCATCTTCTCATTGGCCACCAGTTGAAATACGATGGAAGACTCTTACAAGGATAGGACTTCACTGGTGAAGGGTGCCAAGGACATTGCCAAGGAGGTGAAGAAACAAACAGTAAAGAAGGTGAATCGAGCAGTGGACCGGGCCCAGGATGAATATACCCAGAGGTCCTACAGTCGGTTCCAGGACGAAGAAGAGGACGATGACTATTACCCACCTGGAGAAACCTATGATGGGCAGGCCAATGACGATGAAGGCTCCAGTGAAGCTACTGAGGGTCACGATGAAGATGACGAAATCTATGAAGGGGAGTATCAGGGCATCCCCAGTATGAACCAAGGGAAAGACAGCATCGTGTCCATGGGGCAGCCCAAGGGTGACGAGTACAAGGACCGACAGGAGCTGGAGTCTGAGAGGAAAGCTGATGAGGAAGAGCTAGCTCAGCAGTACGAGCTGATAATCCAAGAGTGTGGTCATGGCCGTTTTCAGTGGACCCTTTTCTTCGTCCTGGGCATGGCCCTCATGGCGGATGGTGTGGAGGTGTTTGTGGTTGGCTTCGTATTGCCCAGCGCCGAAACAGACTTGTGCATACCGAATTCCGGCTCCGGGTGGCTAGGTGAGTGCACCCGTCCGAGAGAGATTCTGAAACTGGTTTATTTGTTAAGCACAGTTAACAAAGAGCATAAATACATTTCATCTAGAGCACTGTATTTTTTCCATTTTATTACGAAAAATTTTAAATATACAAAGGAATCAAAAGAGTTATCAATGATACTCATCTATATCCACCACTTAGATTCTATAGTTAACATTTACTGTATTTTCTTTATCACCTATCTGTCCACCCATCAATCGAACTTATATTTTTATGCATTTCAAAGTGAGTTAGAGCCATATATTTTAACTTACCCTATTATTATAAATGTTACATTGGTTTATCCTTTATTAACTTCCAAAGATATGCCCTTCGAAGTTAATAAAGCTGTCACATAAAACTTATTTGACATTTTTCTAAATACAGAGGTTAATTCTATGAAATTCTGACAAATGTGATTTCAAATTTCAAGTTTTATATATAATACTATGGTTTAAGTATTGTGGGACCCTGCTAATTTTAATTTTTCCTGTAATTTATGTGGATGCTTTAGTGTTCTTTTTTTTTTTTTTTCAATTAACCTTATTCATAGATTTTTCTCTACATGACTTTTTCTTTTCTCAAGTTCATACCTTTGTGCCTAAACTGGAAGAACTTTATTTTCTTGTAGGATTTAAAAATCTGTTTCAAATCATATTAACATTTCAATGATATATATTAAAAATAATATGACCTCCCTATAAAATATCTAGACTTTAGATTTGAATTTTGTTATAAAGTTGCCATGCACTCAAGGTTCATACTGTTACAAAGCTGTGGTTAATACTGCCACTTATTTCCCTCGCGCAGTGAACAGAGGGCAGAGGAACGTGCATACAGTGGAATATCCCCAACAGCTTTAGTCTGGCTCAAACACTTGGTGCATTTTGCTAAGTATACCTCAGAGAACGTGCTTATGTGCATATGAAATCCTGATGTGTTTCAGAGCCCGTGAAAGAGAGTGAGAATACCTATTATCTCTATTCCAAGGGATTTAAAAAAACAAACAAACCCTAAAGCTTGAAAAAGCAAAAATATTCAACTCTTTTTGTGGAAACCTTGTCACTTTATTAAGTAATGTGATAATCATGGATGCTGAGAAATTTTCTGTGTGGAAAACAAAGACCATTTCCTAACCTGCTCTGTGACAACACAAGAGAGAGAGTCATGAATGAGAAAAAGATTTACATCTTATTCCTTTAACACTTGTTTCTTTTATGGGACCCATTTCCAGCATTTGTTTCTTTAAAAGAGATGGGTCCTTGAAAGCAGACTGTGAGGGGGAAGGAGAGACAAGAGGGTCATATTTTGCATGGGTTTTGCTGGTAGGCACATTTGGGTGTTCAACCAACACACCGCAGAACATGGTTCACAGGAGGGCCCTTGGTCATTGGTTAAATTCAGCACTTCTGTTTTATATCTATCACCTTTTCCCCCTTTGGAGAGCAAGTATACCCACTGTAAGCCTGGGCATCAACACAATTACCAAGATTTTGTTAAAGGAATAAGTCAGTAAAATGTTTTAAGAAGAAAGATCCTTAGAAATACATTCACACAAATATTTTATAATTGCAGGCTTAAATTTAGAATACACTGTCTTTCTATGTTATGAGCCTTCCTTTTATATTGGAGACATTTCAGAAAAATCCAAGCCGAGCTTTTCTTTTTGCCTTTATCTTCTTGGGGCTGAATGGAAGCCCAGTATGGCACCGTGGTCCTTATTGATTATCCTATAGCCTGTCAACCCGGAGGAGGTTACACACCCCAGGTAGCATTCAGAAGTATAGATAATACTGTGGAACAATTGGAGCATAGATAGTTTGATTTCTCCAATAAGGTTGCCAGCTGTAGTGAATTAAAAATGTGTCCCCAGGAGTGTACAGTTTCACTCAGTGTTGTGAGTCCACAACAGAAATATCTTCATGGTTTCATAACGGTGCCTTCCAGACCTGCATTTCCATTATTTAGCCGTTGTAATTTCACTTATAATTGCATACTAACCGCGTTCTTTTTAGAGAAGCATTTAAATTGTTTTGTCATTTTCATTTCATCGAATAATAGCTTTGTAATATAATTATCACACTAAGTCACAGCAATGGGATCAAAATGCAGGAAGGAAAGATGCATGACCCTTGTTTGGTGGCATTTTGAGGATATGGATTTGCAAAATAATTTCTCATTTTTTACTAAAGCATTGTGTCATTTTCCTTAAGGCAGGCCAGGAGCAAAAAATAAGAACCAATATATGCTTTTATTACTTGGGAGAGAGATTTCTTTATGTTTGCTAGAAGGTTGACTTAAAGGTAGCTAAGGGCATAGCATGTGTGCATGTGTCTGTGTGTATAGTCTGGCTGCATCTATAACATTGTTAATTGCGCTGGGAAAAGAGTAAATATTTAATTGTCTAATGAGTTGCTCTTTGGGAGAGTAAGTGCAGTCACTTTAAGATAATCCATTCTCTATTGCTAAAGTCTATTTATTGACCACTCATTATGTGCAAAGCACAGTGTTACCACAGAGCAGCAATTCTCAACCCCCCTTTGGGGGTCGAACGACCCTTTCTCAGGGGTCGCCTAAGACCATCAGAAAACACATATTTCCGATGGCGATTCATAACAGTAGCAAAATTACAGTTATGAAGTATCAAACAAAAATAATTTTATGGTTGGGGATCAGCACAATATGAGGAACTATATTAAAGGGTTGCGGCATTAGGAAGGTTTAGAACCACTGCGCTAGAGGATAATAGGATAAAAAAAAAAAAGACAACATTTCTGTATCCAAGGAAATTATGGTTGAGTATGAAAAAAATCACAACTGTCTGTGGATTACTAGTACAAGGAAGCAAGTATCCACAGCAAAAAAAAAAAAAACACAAGAAAATAAAAGCGTATCCCCCCCCCGTCCAGATCAGTGCCTGGTACATAACAGGATCTCAACAAATATTTGTCGAATGAATGAATAGAATTTCTGAGGTCTTTAACATTTTGAGAACATTGGAGAGCCATACGTGCCTAGGTAAGAGTGTGTTAGTTTGAGATGCATTAGCAGTGGAGGAACACAAAAGGGAAAGCCAGAGATGCAGATGTTGGCAGTGCCCTTCTAATGCTGCTTAAGGTTTGGGGCCACCTATGTCCCTCTTGTAGCAAAGGCTGCATTAGACAGTCTTGGTCTGGAGTCTGTGAAGATGTGAATCCTGTAGCTAAGACTCTTGGTCTAACTCCATAATTAAAGCAACATGAGGATTTCCAGTTCTCTAGAATTTGCCATCAAGAATGTGCTTTGTTAAAGATGCTGGTCTTCTTGGCAACTCTGTTTTTTCATTTAATTAACTAACCAGTTGGCATTCTAGCCTTTTTCATCAGTCTTGGTGTGGTTGACTATTGGGGATCTGCTTCCGAGAGAAGAATCTGTTTTTGGTGTGCTCACATATCTGGTTTCTAAACATGTAGGACCAAACTCCCTATCAGAACTGGCAGGAAGTAGTCAGCATTCTGGGAGGACTACTTGGGTCATCACCTGGGCTTCCCAGGGAAATATCCCATGTGCAGTACAGACTACTACATCTATCATATTGACCAGACTGGATTGGTATATTAGGCAAAAACAGAAATGAACTAAGAACATCAAAGCAGTAAGAAGAATATATTTGTACATATGACTGGAATTTTATTGACTTTTTTATTTTCAAAAGCTCTTGAAAGTTTTTTAAAAACATTTAAAAATAATTCTGGAATAAAGGTAGATTTTTGTGAATTTAGGATATATTTTTGACCAGAAAGGGAGCAGTGATTTTTATTTTACTCAATATTTTACTATCAATCATATCAAGTCAGACTCTGTGGCATTCCTGTATTCTCCATTGACAACTATAATGTTCATTCAACAAAAATTTATGGAACATCTACTATGCTACAAGCACTGTTTTAGACTCTAAAGATATAATAATAAATAAAACAGAAAAAAAAAATCTCTGGTAGGCCTTCAACATGCCTTTTAACCTCTCTTTCTATCAGTTTTATCTGGATGGTGGGATTTTTTTGGAAGGTGCAGAATTCATCCTCCCCCCTACCCCCCACCCCACAACATTTGCCACTTATAGAAAGGCTAGTTTCCTTGAAAGCTAAACTGGATGGTTATGACCTGAACCATTTTACCAATTTAGCTTCCTCCATCCTCCATGTGCCACTCTATTCCTTTAGGTATTAACAAGAGAAGAAATATTCTGTGGGATTTCTGGCTGCTTTATCTCTAGCTATCTGTATTAAAAAGTAAACAAAAAACAGCTTCAAATTTCTGAGATCCCCTTTCTTTTTAGTCCCACTGACTATCATTTGCCACTAGACTGGAGGCAGAGTGCAGCGACTGGTCCACTGTGCACTTTCCAGGGTGTAAAGCACCCCTGCCCAGTGCTACCAGGTAGACCAGTGTATCCAAGCTAATGACGAAGAGTGAGGCAGACTGTTTCCTCTTTTAGCTTTATTCCAAGATTTTGATCATTTGGCATCTGGGTGTTCTCTAAAATTTACAACCCTAAAAGTGTACATGGCAGGTTTCAGAGTCAGCAGCTCTGTACTCTGCCCAATCCCTTTGTCCTTGACTGTGCCTCCTTTTCTCAGAAGCAGGTTTGGTCTCCACTGAGTGTGCCTTCTGGCTCTGGTTAGCGTATCTCTGTCACAGGGATCCTAATTGGAATTAAAAACTTATTGGCTTCTAGAGAACATCCTGTCCACCAACACTAGCAAAATCTTATTTGGCTTCATTATTGTCAAATTGGAGAAGACTCAGTAATTCATCGCCATTATATTCCTGGGTCTTGCTCTGGTCTTCCACATTCTCCTGAGAGAAGAGAGGTTTCTGACATCACAATGGAGTTGAGCCAAGTAGCCTGAAAAGATGTCTTTATCCAAAGAGTCTGTGATCCATTTCCATAGGGCAGGAGTGAACAGAACTCCCTGCCACATGGCTGAAACTTGCCTTCT